TATTTCTTTTATTTTTCTGCCCTCAGGATTAGTTTGTAAGTAATATACGTAACGTACTGGTCATACAGAAACTGTCATTCGCTCATTTATGTAGTAAATATCTCATAGCTCCTCGACTGATCCTTTTTTCACTGTTTCTCCATCTTGCTAATTCTGTTTCCAAATTTCATTATTATGATATTATAAGTTTTCCGTTTTTAAACCAAGTCAAATAAATCTTGTCAGTGGCTGAACTGTAAATTTAACAAAAGTTACCGGATAGGGTTGATTTTTGCCAAACATTTTTTAAATGCAGTACTGATGAGCGATCTCGCAAAATACAAGAGGGAATAGAGACTTTCCTTAGTCATCAATTCTGAATTATGTACTTAGAATGATTTTTCTCCGTAACTGTACCTACTGAAGAAAGAACGTGGATATCCGATATCTTTTGCATAAAAGAGCGAGCACGACATCCTGGGTTATCGAAATTGAAAAATGGTACCGCTTAAATTTATTAAGCATTGGCTGTAGAGAGCCATCAACTTAAACAAGTAACGAACTCGAAACGTAATAATACTTTGAAACTAAAAATTAATTTGTGCAAAATTCTTTTCGTTTAATGGCGGTGTCCTTTTTAGGATTCCGCCAGCGTCAATTTTGTAAAAATTACTGTAAGTACAAAAACCCGCCATTTTTTTCTCAGTACCGATTAAACATCAATTTCGGATTTACAATTTGGTAAACATTTGCTCGAATTTAATTTATGACATCAAACGACGAGACGAACGAATCGTGCGCCTGGTAAGCGACACGCCTATCCATGATACTTGCAGTGCCACTCAGAGTTTTATAACGCAAAGACCTAAGGGCACTGCCACTGGGCTCGTCATCTTGACACATGATAAGTCCCATGTGCCATTTCACTAACACCCTAAGGGCGCACTTATTCGATACGCCGCGCGTACACCGCGTTGCTGCCGCGCAGCGACCGCGGGCGTCTAACTATCATGGCAAAGTACGCTCTACTTATGTAGCTTTTACGTTTTAACTTAAAATGAGCATCACGGTTGCGCGGGCGAGTCTGGCTTGTCTTTGGTCGACGCGGCGGCCACGCGATTGTATTATTCAGAGGAATTTAAATGTTCTGGCCTAGTAAATAGAATTCAGATTCACCATTAATATACTTGAAAGCGTGGAAACTGGGCGGTCAACGCGCGGCGGCCGCGCCAAAACTTTCGCGTCGTGTAACTGGTCGCTTACCTTTCAAAATCAGAACGCATTAATGTTACATTACACCTTGACAGCAGAAATACGTAAGGTGGCGGTACTTCCCTGGACGAAATCTTTCTCAAGGACCTCTACAGTTACTGTAAATCGAAGTTTGTGAAGTACCTACTTTATATAAAATACACTGTATTAAGTGCTTACATAAGCAGTTTTTTTGTCCACTACATCATGATCCACTACATTTGTCCACTACATCAAAACTTAGCCAGTAAATATTTATGTTTATAATGTTATCTAACGTCATGTTTGCGTTTCATAGGATAAACTAGATACGATGAATTGATAATCAGCAAGATATACTTACAGCAGTAACATTTCTTGCAAGTGGATGGAAAGGAAAATGATCCTTGGCTTAATTGATATGGGTAATCCATGTCAATTTAAACTTATAATTAATTCATTTTTTTAACAATGTATAGTCAAAGTCATAATCTTTATTTCATAAATAAGCAAATTACGCTTGAAATCATCATACTTACTGATTTAAACTCTACTGCTCATTCGTAAGGCAGATTCCTCTGAGAAAATGAGCAAGGAACTCGAGGAATTGCTCTTTCTAAAATATACATTTGAACGCATTTGTCATCGCTATATTTAGTTTAAATATCTTAGATCGAGTCTATCTGCAAGAGCTACGCGGGTCACTATCACGGATTTTTATCACCAGCATACCAAGCTATATGTATAATACACTTGTTCGAATATCGCCTCCTTACGTTGCTTGCAGCTTGATGTGCTGCCGTCTGTACTTAGGATTTTTTTATGATAACAAGTAATAGGACGGACAGTCGTGCACCTTGGTTTTGATTGCCTCTCCCGATCGGAAACTGCGTCTTTTCCGAGTCGAGGCGCATATTCTGCGCTGCATATAATGTTCATGTCTCCCACGTAATTTGTTGTAAGCACAAAGTACAACTTTCTGCTTTTTAACCATTTTTTAACTTAAATATTATATCCCTTTTTATGTGTAATATAGGTTGCAAGTAACCTATAATAAATATGCCTTATAATCATGTAGCCTGTAATAAATATACGTGTTAAACTTAGAAGTACAATATACACAAAAATGATATATTTAAGTAAAAAAAAAAGGGAAAAAACCACCAATTTACCTACGTATGAGGCATCGCTCTACACTTAGGCAAAGTATTTTCCGATAATTTTACCTGATGGTAATAAGTGACGGGGTAATTAAAGCCATAGCACGTATGCTTAGAAGTTATTTCCGTAAAAAAAAATTTGGATGACGATCACTGATGATAAAGACTAAACATTGTACTGTATTCAGGTTAAACGTTTCGCTTGCCAACTCTGATTAACTATAAAGAATTTTAATTTGAATAAATTTGCATTTAACAATAAAGACTAGAATCTTAATTTGAATATATTTGCATTAAACAAATTTGATTATTGTCTTCTAGTTATTATTTTACAAATTACTTTTTCATGTTACTGTTTTGTGACACCAGCAGAGGCTGCTCGTCCTAAGGAGCGCTGGTGCAGTGAACTCCCACTCCTATCCAACCCACCGAAATTATCGAAATAAGTATTTGTATGGCCTACATTTATTTATCTCGTAAGTTTGGGTGTATACACACACATAGACAACCATGGCACAGGGTTTCCCTAGTGCGGGGCTATGTTGAGTGTGTGCGTTATTATTGTTATATTATATTAGTAGCCGCAGTATTTTTTTTTTATTAATGAACGACAAATATACAATTCGATTTTTATCCTTCTCTGTAATATAGTATAGCATACTGACCCTTGAGTGGCTTCGCTTCGCGATGCGCTCCTATGAACCGACATTGTTGACAAAGACCTGTGCTGAATTCTATGAGTGCGAAAGAAAAATACGTGAAACAAAAGATTAGTATGAGGAAATTTAGCAAGATCGAGCGGCGGTCCGCGCAAATAAGCAAGCCGTATTTTTTTCGCGCGCATTTTGTTGTGTTGTAAAAACTCTTATTATTCAATCGTTGTTAAGAAGCGTAGTGTTGTTTAGTGGCATTGTTTAAAATGGAACACTATAATGAGAGTTTCATTTTTTATTTAAAATATATGTACGTGAACTCCCACTGAAATCTCCCACGAGCCGCCTCTTATGTTTGGTGTTATGTTGGTCGAACATCGTGTTTTGTAAAACAAAGATTTTATATATAATGTTGGCGGCATACCATTATAAAGAAACCTGATTATGATCTAATTGTGAAAATTGCTAAAATAAAAAAGAAACTTGAAGGCGCCTATGCTAACTATAGACCCTGATGAACTTTGATTCCCAAAGTGGTCTATATCGACCCCAGGGATTCCGCTGTAATCTACAAAGCGTACGGTCAGCGAAAAAAGGGGTGTGTGAGACGTTAATGGGGGCAATACCTAACCTATTTAAGGTGCCTACAGATTTGCTCGATTTTTTAACCGACTTTTAAAAAAAGGAGAAGATTTTCAATTCGACTGTTTTTTTCTGTATGTGTATGTTACGTGATAACTCCGATTTGTGAACCGATTTTGATGATTTTTTTTGTTGGAAAGAGGGTACCTCATTAGTGGTCCCATTTAAATGAAGAAAATATTCCACGCCCAAGGGTGGCAAACTAGGGGATGAATGACTTTTGACGTCGGTTTGTTTAGTACTTTGCACTGAGACTATTGACGATCGACACGTGTCGATCTACAAAAAATGTAATATCAAACGTTTCCTTCTTACTCGTTTACTCGATTTTGTCTGATCACACATGTTGATCGACAAAAAATGCGATTTCGATCGTCTGTTGCTTACAAATTTACTCGTTTTGATCAATCATCGAGTAAATTTGTTGTAGATGGTAACGTGTGATCCACGTGTTGATCGTAAAAAAAAAACGAGTAAATCTGTAGGCATCTTTAGGTCATCTTTATCTGTAGGCAGGTTTTGACCAAAATTTTGACTCAAAATTTCTAAAAATTTCTTTAAATTTTGAAAATATCTTTAAATGAAATAATGTAACATACGTAATGACACGTACACTCATAGTCCCGCATAAAGTAACCTTTATCGCGGATACCGTGGACACACACATAGGTAAACAATCACAAATTAAACCCACAATGACGAGCGAATTAAATATAGGCCATACATAAATATTTCTCCCGGCCCGGGAATCGAATCCGGGACCTCTGCGTGGCAGTCCAGCATGGTAACCTTTCGACCACGGAGACAGTTAAATCCACATTACACATTAATACTTAGGTACTGATTTACCTACCAGACGTAAAATTACCTATGAAGTTCCTAAACGTTTTATAACAAACAAGATATTCGGTTAGATAAATGTGTAAAACTAACACAAATTTTTTTTAAGAAGTTTAGCTTTGTGTAATCACAAGTCGATGAATTTGTAAAGGAACCAAAATTAGAAAGGCACGCAAAGGTTCACGCAAAATATAGGCACGTAGTCTACACAAATACAAAATACATAAAGACAAAAACGTTTAGGAACCCGTTACCTAGAACCATTATCTTCACTTTGTCTCCTCTGAACCCCATAAGCTACCTCATTATCCTTATTATCCTAAGTTAGTCATTATCCAGAATCCGTATGTGTAGCTGCATTATGAAATATATCTGCCCACGTTTGATAAGAGACACGTTACTAATTGCAAAACTAATCAATACCACATTTTAGTGTTAGTCATCTCACGTGATG